TGCAAGGTCAGAAGACCAGCATTTGTAAGATCGAATCTACGCTATGGAGTGAGCTCCCGTCGCTTGTCCCAGCTCCTGCCAACCTAGCAATTTGAAAGCATGTAAAAGCAAATAGATAAATAGGTACTGCCACGGTGGGAAGGTAACGGCGTTCTGTGTGTAGTCGTGCTGGCCATGTGACCACAGAAACTGTCTTTGGACAAACGCTGGCTCTATTGCTTGGAAATGGGGATGAGCACCGCACCCTAGAGTCAGACACGACTGTACTAAATGTCAAGGGAACCTTTACCCTTACCTAAGGCTGCTGCAGATATTCCCTCTTGTGATTTGAGGTGCTAATATAGCATTGAAAAGTAGAACCAAGAAGTAAGAAGGCATACACAAGAGAAAATGGCTCTGTTCACCCCTGTTCTTTCAGTCAATTATCATACAGCGCACAGGATGACATAACAGCACTATGTAGCCAAACTGATTTGGCTATCTGATGACATCTCTGATGACAAAATAAGCCAATGAAGAATGATGGCAGTATTTCCTGCACAGGCCACAAGGGGTCTGCAACAGTCGGCTGAGTCACTCCAGAATTTGGAGGCAGGAGATACTCCTCCTTGCCATGATCCAAAGCTGTCACGGATTCCTCAGTTGGTTCAAAGAAGATTCCAACCACTCAGAGATCACACAGTGTATAGGATGATGTTATGAAACCTCATAGAAAATCAGATTTGATTGCATTGCCAAGAGACAGCAGGAATTAATGCATGATTTATTTATTTTTTTGCAGATGCAGCCAACAGTTAATTGAAAGAAGTGGGTGTTTTCAGAACATGACATATTCCCAGAAATGTGAATAGCTTCCAGGGTCACCTGGAAACCTTGATAAACCGTAGAAGTGTTTTTCACACACTCTGCTAATTTAGCTTTCAGGGTGAATGAGGTACAGAAGACAAGGGCTTTATCCAAGGTATCTGTCTCTTGTAGTTGGTACTGAAGTGGAGAAAGAAGCCATTTGCTGATGTGTCAACACATATGGGCAGTGAATCCGTTAATTTCTGAACTAAGAAAATGGTGCTCTACACTACATCTGGAATATGGTTCCTCCTAAGGAGTTGCCCACCTGGGTTCTTTTTTTCCTGCCACAAGGTTGATGTTAAGCCAGAAAATCCTACAAGCTTCTGCAGGCCTGGAGCCACATTATTTCTGGAACTGACTGTGTGAGGGAGCTGCTAACATTTCCATTCTGTCACTTGCAAATATAAGGATGTGTGACTTCAAATTATATTCAGTTTATTAGAGCTTGTTCTTCCACCATGCTCCGGTGGTCCCATGTTCTTTTCTTTGGCATTTCTGTTGAGTTTCCACATGAGGTCTCAGGCTAGTGACAATGGCCTCACTGATAGTGATCCCCCTTCATTCTGTAACTGAAGTGGGTCTCCCACAAGTCAGAAGACTCCCATGTTCCAGAATTTTCTTCTTCTTCAGCTTGTAAAGTCACTAGCTTCTAAAGAAAAGCACTAGTGCTGAGAAAAGTCAGTTTTTTTTTCTTTTTTGGCAGCTTGGCAAAAGTTAAAGGAAAAAAATATCTTATTTGTAGTAACTTTAGAGCAAAGCTATGTTGGCTGTTTTACCAACATGATCCTATAAACGAGGATATCACCATTAATAAAAATTTTGAATGAAATGATGACATTATGTTCATGGGTTTTGGTGGCTCTCATTTTTTTAAAAACCTTCAAATTTATGCCTTAGTGGGTTACAAATCAGCAGAACTTAGAAGCAACTACCCTGTTTCCCCGAAAATAAGACCTAACCTGAAAATAAGCCCTAATATGATTTTTCAGGATGCTCATAATATAAGCCCTACCCCAAAAATAAGCCCCGGTTAAGTGAAACCCCACCTCCACCATTGTGCAGCAACCAGAAGATGATGACATGACTGTAAAATAAAACATCCCCTGAAAATAAGCCCTAATGCATATTTTGGAGCAATAATTTATATAAGACTTCTTTTCAGGGAAACATGGTAGGTAAAAATACTATAACATGTTATTTGTTATTAATTCATTTCATGCACTGGGGCAAAAAATACTGTAACGTGTTATTTGTTATTAATTCATTTCATGCACTGGGGCATTACAGAATTACAATTACACTGTTATAAAGGCAAATACAGTATCACTCAATTCCCTGTCTACTTATTGTTGGCTTCTAGTAATTTTCAAAACTGCAAAGTCTGTGTGGCCTCTTTACTTGGATATGTTTTGTCCAGGCCACTATATTGCAGCATTCACTTTGACTCACTTTTGAATGCCAGGAAAGTTTTTTTTAAGTCACTCTAATTGTAACTGAGTACTTTCTGAAAGGTCTCTGTAACTCAAAATAATTACTTTTAAAAATTAATTCTCTGAACTCTGAAATGGACGAAATGTTGGTAAGAGATTATCTTGGGATCAGTCCCTACTTCCAGCTTGCAAAGAAAATGACATTAAGGCAAAAGAAAATAAGGGTGGGGGAGATGGAGAGGAAACAGATTGAAGTGAAATTAAGTAGTACAGCAATCCCTCTGAGCCAGCCTGCGATGCAGCAAATCCCCTAGCTATGTGGTATGTAGCATTTTACCCATCCTGAACCTTTGACCGTTTAGTTTAATTATTTAGCTTTATTCTAGTATTATGAAAGAGGAAGAAAAAATTCTGCTTTCAGCATATTATGATTAATATATCACTACCACAGCAAGCGAGTATTGCTGTTCTTTTAAAAAAAAGATGTAACTTTTCCTCACTCCTTCAGTCATGTGAGCCATTGCTCCTGACACCATGATTAGGCAGGCGTGTTCATGGCAATGGCCTTGCATTTCCTCTTTCGCACACCCCCTCACTTCCTGGTTCCATTGGGCAGTTCTATTGTTACTTCTTAAGGAAGAACAGAAAACACTCTTGTGCAAACTCAGTGTTGGGAACCACCTTTGTGTGTGGCCGCTTTCCTTTGCCCACATTGTCCCCATCAGTGGGCTCTATATTTAGGTTGGCACATGATGTTCGCAGGCTGCTGACTCCCGTTCACATCTGGGGGTGTCTCTTTTTAGCAAATTTCTGCACAGAAGCATTTTCACCCTGACCTCAGCAGCATATCCTTTGCTGCTTTGCTTTGGTGCAATTTGTACTAATATTGAGAAAAGGGATCACGGGTTGCTGACCAAAGAGAAGAATTTCAAGCAGGAGCCATTGGACAGGATGGTTCTAGGTGAAGGGTAGCAGAGCCTTCTCCCACTGGATTGTTGCCAGATGTGTTAGACTACGATTCCCAATGTCTTCAATAATGGTTGTCATGGAAGGTATCACACTGGGGAAGGCTGATGTTATGGTGGTGGCAGTTCAAAGGAAATAAAAGAGATTTGGTCAAAACAGAGATGACCAGCATGAACAGAACACTCATAGAATTTTATAATTATCTGTAATTAATAGGGCTGGCATAATCCCTGGGTGTGCAATCTTCACATTCAGTCAAAGCCAATGAAGGCATGCTATGCCTTGATTTCAAATTCTATGCAGAAATGTATTAGTTGCTGTGTTTTTTACACATTACATCAGATTTATGTCTAACTGGAAAATACCATTAAGGCATTGACACACTCCCCTGGAAGTGAGCCCCACTCCAGCTTACTTCCAAGTAGAAAGGCATGGGGTTCTACTGCAAATTTTCTTTCTATAGGCTTAATCCAGATAGGCTTCCCCCTCTTTCTTTAGGAAGAAAATGTTTGTATAGCTTTATTTAGATAATATTCCACATGGTGTAAAGCGCAAAATTACTGCTTTTTTCCATGTCAGAGAAGGGCTTCACCTGGCTACTATCAGAGATTTTAAAGACCTTACAAATACAAAATATATACATTGGGAGAGTGTTGCAAGAGTGGAAGAGTAGTATCTACCCAAGTTGCTGAGTGTCAATAGTGGATAGACATCAAGCATGGAGATAGAATTCTGACATCCTGTACTACAGAACACAAAAATCAATCCCTCTATGCCCAGTGTTCAGAGGTAGGTGCTCCAATTATGTAACCAAAACAGCAGTAAATATATACAAGAAGGAAGCTGAAAACTGGCCCACTAGGGCTAATGAGGTATTGGTCTACCTCAGGGTCAAGGTACCCCCAGTCTATTCTCCTTGCTTCCTTATCTGAAATGGGGGATCTGAGTCCCACCTGTGTTACCCTCCATATGAACACCCATCTCACACTTTGGCATCAAGAGAATGAATGTGGGTGAATATACCAACCAGCCAGCTTTGAAAGCTCCCACAAAAGAAAGCAGGAGCATTTCATGCTTGCCTGCTTGCCTGCTTGCCTCCCTCCCTCCACAGAACATTGACCAACTTGTGAAGGCAGGGAGAAAAAATTAAGACAGATGGGAAGCTTATGACTTGTAAATAGACCAGAAAACCCCTATGGTTGCATGCCAATAGGCCGACTGGAATGCTTTGAAATCAATGGGTTTAATCATGCCACATAAAGCCCATGTTGAATTGGGGCCCCCAAATGGCAATCTTCCCTGTTCTCAAGAAAACTGGCTCTGTAAAATGCTGCTCCTAGAACATCCTGCCCCTTGGGGCAGTGGTGAAACAATACTTATCCAAAGCAGTCCCTTAATTTATTATCTTTGGCTCTGATACACCAGTGCTTGGATCAGGCATGAGAGAAGAAAATGGAAATTGAAATTCTTCCAGTACCTTCTTAGATGGGTTGCTTAACTGATGAGATGCTGGAGGCTGTAGAGAACACCAGAGAGAGAGCTTAAATCGGGGAGAGGGTCTGAAACAGAGATGGCTCAGCTCTCCTGTCATAATTGCAGAATCATTTTAAAGGAGAGCCTTCAGATTCTACACCATTCCCTTGTTAATTGTTGCAGCACAAGAATCCTTCGTGTGTCTTTGTGTGCTCGTGTGTGCATGTGTGTGTGTGTGTGTGTGTGAGAGAGAGAGAGAGAGAGAACAAGAGAGCACACCTATGTATTTTTGTAGATATTTACAAGGTGCAAGTCGGCCTGTAGAGAAACCAAAAGTCTATTTTTCTTTTCACTTGCCATGAACGACAATGCTCTTCTGTAATTGGCTCAGAGACTTCTGGGTCATCAGGTGGCGTTCTTCATGAGATGAAGGTGTCCCCTTTGTATGGGGAAAAGCAGGGGACTCCACATGATGGCACACAACTGCTGTGGATGACTCTGTGTTGTTTGTGGGCCTTGACAGGTTTGGGTCAAGTGCGGGTGACCAAGAAAGGAGACCACTTCTGTTTCTGGAGGTGTTCTCCTGTGGTCTCCACTCATTGGTCTTGTAGAGTAGGGAGGAAAGGTTCTTTCCTTGATAGATGTGGGATAAGATGGGGGAGGGAGTTGACTGCTGGTCTTTTGACTGGAACAGGTTTTGAGGATGGAACAGGATTGGGCAATGATTGGAATGATGGCTGAGGGCCTGATGTGGAGGCTAAGATCTTTGTGATTCTCAGTAGAAAACCCAAGGGTCACTCCACTGGGAGTGGCTTTGCTGGAGTGGAAGGAGCTGCTTCTTCAGTGGTGCTGGTGGGAGCTTGAACTTTCCCAGTGGATAGAAGACATCTGTAGATTCTATCATGTGCCATGCCAAATGGCTCATAGGGATTGGCTTGTGGGGCTCCTTAGTTGCCATCTTTGATCTCTTTCTGTTTCCCTCTGGCACTAGGTAAGGGGGCACTCACCTTTTGCTTCCTGTGGATTTGAGCTTGTGGCCACTTTTTCACAGGATTTGGTTCTTCAGGAATTGTCTTCAGGGATTTTGGTTTTGAACCACTGGGCCCTGCAGAGACTTTCTTTGACCCCTGCTACAGGTGGCACTTCTTTATAGACCACTCCTTTTGACACCTTGCTTCTGGGAAGATGTTTTTCAGCCTCCAGACTCTTTCCCTCAAGAAACTTCATGCATGTTTCTCCCTCATTTGGTGTAGGTTCTCTTCTCGTGACCTTGGTAGATGGTTTAGGCTCAGAGGGTGCTCTTGATAGTTTCCCTTGGGATGGTCTTGGGGCAGAGGCATCTTTGTGGTGTTGGTGGCTCTGCCTTTGACCAGAGAGGCATACCAGTTGTAAGTTGGGCAGAGGCTGTGAAGGGGGGGGGGTACCCATACACTTGTCGCATGGCAAATAGAAGAAGACCATTGGTACAGCAGCTTGAGGCTGATGGCCAGTTCCCTCTCTATGGAGGGAAGAGGGAACTGCAGAGGTGGACAATGGCATTGGCCATGATTCCTGCTGACTCCATGCGGGTCTGTTGCTGCTGGGTGGAGAGACTGGTCCATCAACCAGTCTGAGGCCTTTGATGGAATGCTTCTTCGGATGCTGTGAGGGCTTTCTCCTGGTGTCACAGTGGCCTCCCCTGGTGAGAGGCTTGCTGTGGAATGGTTGGGCCTTCTTTTTGGCTGCATCTTGAACATCTGGTCTGTAAAAGAAATGAATGGGAGAGGGTCTTAAACACTTATCAGCCTTATCGGGGACAAATTGCTCTGTTTTGGATTTCCCTTAGCCAGTTGGTATACTGAAATGTAACATTTTACCGTGCTTCAGGAGCAGGAAACCTGATTGTTTCCTTCCCCCCCCCTTATATCCTCAGTTCATTCCCGCTGTGCTCTTGTTTTTCTTCTCATATTTCAACCTCTCAAGAAGAGCAAGGGAGCCCTCTGCCCTTTCTCCAGCTCCTATCAGACCAGCTTCTAAATTCTGGTGGTTATTTATAAGATTGATTTTATTCTCTTTTTTTGGTTTTTCCATTGCTATATTCTCCCCAGGACCTGCTTGTCTAATGCTTAGTAATCATTTCTCCCTCCCCCTGCCATAAAAGAAAAGGGTCCCTGTGGCGTTTGCCCTCATGGCCCCTGCTTGTTTCCCCAAACACTGAGCTCACAAGGTGCCTCAGCATGCCCTCTGATACACTGCCACCAGTTAATCTCTTTTATCAACTTAGTTTACTTAGAAAAGACGAAGGTCCATCCAGTACTGATGTTTCAACAGAATAAGTTTATTGATTACGGATGGTTTCTGGAATGCTTCATAAGCACATTCTTCAAAATTCATCAATCATCAACATTAACCTACTCTACTTCATAAGCACATTCTTCAAGATTCATCAATCATCAACATTAACCTACTCTATTAATTATCCCAGGTTACACTCTTAACTAATCACTCCTCAGACCCCCAAACTGTCTTTCTCTCTTTGATTCCAGACTCAGACTGACCCCTGTGATGTTCACCCTTTTGAGACACCTATGTTTTATGCCCTCACAAAGGTTCCAGTCATTTTCCTTTCACTGCCACCAGTGGATTACCTCAGTCCACAAAATAATTGACATTCGAGCAGACACTTGTATGGTGAATGCAAACAAAACTTATTTATTAAAGTGAAGCCAATTTAATAATCACAGAAGTTCTTCAGATGTACATGCTATTCTCTTGCCATATAATTTCCACCTTCTCTATCTATTTCTTAACCAGTCGCTAACTCAATCTCTATCTCTTCTGCCTCTCACTCTCTCCCTCCTGACTGACTCTCTTCTTCTCAGGCTCCGCCTTTTAACCTCTCTCTCAGCTCCGCCTCTCCATCACATTTGCCTAGAACATGAATAATACGTGACTTATTTTGCATAACAAGGGGTGAACCTCCCCCCTTAAATATGTTTGTTTGGGAGGGAAAACATGTTTTACATCACAAACTTTGCATAAAAACTACTAACCCTCAGGCACAGTTTTGCAAACAATACAACATCATATATCTCTATAACACAATATCTTCTCACTTTACACATTTCCAATATAATTCAATAATATACTTTACCTTTTGATGGACAATTATGACATTTAATTTTACAATCCTACAGAACCATAACATTTTCATGAAAATTTTATATAAATAATTAAACAGTTAATCAATAGTCCATTCCAGTTTATTTTTAAAGTCCTTGCATCCTTCACCTGGCCTCCTGGATAGTGCATCTGGGACAATGTTGTGGGCTCCATTTACACTTTTTATTTCAAAATCAAAATCCTGCAGCAGAAGAGCCCATCTCATCAGTTTGCTATTAGTTTTCATTGACTGCATCCACAGTAATGGCGAATGGTAAGTACATAATGTAAATTTGTGTCCCCAGATATATGGTTTGAGTTTCTGTAAAGACCAAACAATCTCCAGGCACTCCTTTTCAATGGTTGCCAGATGTTTCTCGGTTGCAATTTCTTACTAATATAAGTTACTAGATGCAAAGTCCCTTCTCCATCTGTTTGGCAAAGCACTGCTCCTAGTCCAATGTTCGAAGTATCTGTGAAGATGATGAACTCCCGGCTGTAGTCAGGTGCACAGAGGACTGGTCTGGTTGTTAATGCTTCCTTCAGCTGGGCAAATGACTGCTAGCACTCAGGAGTCCATCTGATGCTCTCTGGCTCCTTCTTCCTAGTGAGGTCCAACAACGGGGCAGAGATCGCACTGAACTGTGAGATTAACCTCTGATAATAACCCGCTAGTCCTAAAAAAGATCAGACCTTTTTGGAAGTGGGGTTAGGTCATTTCATGATAGCCTCAATCTTAGAGTCCAGGGGTTTGATCACTCCTCCACCCACTAAATGTCCCAGGTATTTTAATTCTGAATCTCCAGTGTGGCATTTACTGGCTTTTATAGTCAAACCAGCTCCCTGGATTCTTTGCAGCACTTGATTTAAATGTTCCTTGTGCTCAGCCCTTGTTTGACTAAAAATGCCGATGTCATCCATGTAGGTGACAGTAAATTCTCTCAGGCCATGTAATGTTTTGTTCATTAATCTTTGGATGCACAACCATTTTTTAACCCAAAGGCCATGACCCGGAATTCAAACAAGCCTAGAGGACTCTGAAAAGCAGTTTTCCCCTGGTCCTCAGGGTGCATCTGAATTTGCCAAAACCCCTTGGTCATATCAATGCATGTGATGTAATGGCACCTTCCTATCGTCTCAATCAAGTCATCCAGGCATGGTATGGGATAGGCATCAGCCTTGGTGACATGGTTTAGTTTTTGGTAGTCTACGCAAAATCTTATGCTACCATCGGGCTTGTCGATTAGTACTATGGGAGCAGCCCAGGGACTCTCAGATGGGGTGATTATGCCTGCCTGTAACATCTCTTGGACTTCCTGTCGCACTTTTTCAACATAATCCCCAGTGATTCCATAAGGGGTGACAGCTATGGGATGGGCATCCTCGATGTAAATTTGGTGGACTACCCCCTTCGCTTTCCCAGGTATTTTTGCAAATACGGATTGGTATTTTTGAAAAATCTCAGCTACTTCCTTCCTCTGTTGTATGGTAAGGGAGTGACCTAGGTTTACTTCATCAGGGTTAAAATGCTGTTCCCCTCTCCCTTCCCAACACATAAATTCTTCTTTATCGCCTGGGTTCTCTCTGATCACATATAGGGTCTAGAGCTCTCTTCTGCAATAAGGCTTGAGCATGTTGACATGCACTACCTTGCGACCCTCTTCTTTCTGTATCACATCCTAAGCATTACTCATTTTTGATACTATTTTATAGGGACCTTCCCAAGCTAATTGTAACTTGTGACCCTTGACTGGCCTAAGTACAAGGACTTCATCATCAGGCCCAATCGTTTTTTCCTGGGATTTTTTGTCATACCAGGTCTTTTGCTTGGTCTGGGCAGCCCTTAGGTTCTCTCCTGCTATCTCCATGGAGCTTTGCAGCGTGTTTTGCAACCTGTTCATATAATCGATGACTGATTCTGGGTCACTCTCCCTATAGTCTTCCCAATTCATACAGAGCAAATCTAGAGGTCCTTGCACCCCCCCCTCCTAGTAACAATTTGAAAGAACTGAACCCGGTGCTTTCTTGAGGAATGCTCCTGTGGGCATATAATAGGGGTTGTATTTTGCTATCCCAATCATTTGAGTTCTCTGCCACATAAGCTTTGATCATGCGTACTAACGTACCATTGAATTTTTCAATTAGCCCGGTAGTCTCAGGATGATATGGTGTAGAGTTGATTTGGGTTATTCCACAGGCCTTCCATAACCTGTTTATGAACCTGGAAGTGAAACTCGTTCCCAAATCACAGACTATTTCACTTGTGAATCCTAATCGGCTCATATAATTTATCAAGGCATCTGCCACTGTGTCAGTTTCTATGTTACATAATGGAATTGCCTCCGGATATCTGGTGCCAAAGTCCATAATCGTCAAGATGTATTTATTTCCTCACCTGGTGGCTTTAGGCAGTGGACCTACCAGATCGATCCCTAGCCTTTGGAATGGTGTAGTAATGACTGGCAAAAGGCATAATCTTGCTTTGGTTTTGTCCTGTCCTGTCTCCCTTCTCTGACATATGTCACAAATCTTGCAGTAATAGTTAATCTGTTTACCCATGTCTGGCCAAAAGAAGTTCTGAGCAACCCTTCTTTTGGTTCGTATGATCCCCATGTGTGCTCCAAACAAACTACTGTGAGCTTGATTCGTGATTTCTTCTCTGTATTTATTTGGGACCACTAATTACTTTTGGGGTTCTCCTTTTCCTCTGTATGGGGTGGCTAAAACTTCCCTATACAAAAGATCCTTATCCACACAAAGTCTCTCAGGGCACTCAGGAGACAATAACATGGGTGAACGGGTCACTTCAAAGCAACTCACCAAACTAAAGTTCTCCTTCTGCTCCTGAGCAAAACTATTTTTATTTGGATTCTTCAGAATCATAATCTCAGCTTTTGGATGGCTATCAAACTGACTTTCTAAGGAGCTTTCTCCTGCCAGGCTTCCCTCTGCTACTGTATCCATTTCTGCTGCAGTGGGTGATTTCTGGCCCCTCTTTAAGTGTGTAAGTACGAAAGCACTCTTAACATGCTCTATTAAGTCTCATCTGATGAGGAAAGCAGCCGGTATTTCATCTGAAGTGGACACTTGCCACTTTCCAGACCAATTCCCATAAGTTATTTGAACCTCTGCCATTTCCAACACCACAGTTTCTTTTCCAATTCCTTTTAGGGTCATAGTTCTGCTTGGAATTATGTTGTCCTGAGCTATCAGATCTGAATGTGCAATGGAAATTTGAGAACCTGTGTCCCTTAGAGCAATGCACTTCTTTCCATCCACTGCTATCTCTTCCCCAGCGTTTTTAAGAAGAGTACAGTGGTGTCTCACTTAGCGATGTTAATTGGTACAGAAAAAATCGCTGCTAAGTGATAACATCGCTAAGCGAAAATAAAAAGCCTATAGAAATGCATTAAAACGCGATTAATGCATTCCTATGGGCTTAAAACTCACCTGTAAGCGATGATCCTCAATAGCGCCACCATTTTTGGTGCCTCTAAAGCGAAGAATCCATGCCTGAAAGCAGCAGGTGGCCATTTTGTTTACCTGGTGGCCATTTTGAAACCGCCGATCAGCTGGCTGAAAATGGGGGCTTTGTGATGATCGCTTCCCTGCGATCATTGCAAAGCGAAATTTCCCCATAGGGAACATCACAAAAACAGCGTTGCTAAGCGATTTCATCGCTATACGGATCGATTGCTATGCGAGGCACCACTGTATTTTCATTTTTTATGTAAAAACAATGGACTATTTGGGCTTCAGGTATCTCCTCGAGATCAGTAGCCTTGGTTGCCATGGAGACAGAACTACCATTGTTACAGCCTCCTTCAATGGCTTCAACTGGTTTTAAACAGTACACTTTTTTGGTCTGTCCATCTTTCCCATTTTACTCTTATTTTTGTTCTCCATACAATTGAATTGTAAGTGCCCAAACTCTCTGCAGTTATAACATTTGTAAGACCTTCTATCATTCTGAGGAGATCTGTTAAACTTTTCCTCAGGGTTCATTTGGGTCTGAGAACTAGGCCATGCTAATTTACATGAGGCACCACTCTGACCTTCTTTCCCTGTTGTTTTGCTGATGAAATTTTTATTAAAGAGTTTCTTATGGTTGTCCCAGTTTTGCCTGTTAAAATTTACCTCAGAGAACCTGTGGATTTCAATCTCTCCAATGTAATCAGCTGTTTCTCCTGCTTCTACTAGATTTTTAGGATTTTTGTCTTTGACTAAGTAACGCAATTCCCCAGGCAAAATAGAATGAAATTGTTCCAACCCAATCACATTTTTCATCTGCTCAAGAGAAGTGACATTTTCACCTTCCATCCATTTCTCCAAACATTGCAGCAGTTTAGCTCCTAGCTGAGAATAAGATATCTCAGACTTTTTCTCTTGCCATATAATTTCCACCTTCTCTATCTATTAACCAGTCTCTAACTCAATCTCTATCTCTTCTGCCTCTGACTCTAACTTACTCTCTCCCTCCTGACTGATTCTTCTCCTCTCAGGCTCCGTCTTTTAACCTTTCTCTCGGCTCTGCCTGTCCACCATATTTGCCTAGAACATGAATAATACATGACTTATTTTGCATAAGAAGGGGTGAACTCTACCCCCTCTCAGACTCTGCCTTTTAGCATCTCTTTTGGCCCAGCCTCTTAACCATATTAACATATAACATGAATACATAAGGATGAACACTATAGTCCCCTTGTGTGCACTTGAGTGCAAATTCAAAGCTGCCTTCCCTGGGGTTGAGGCCTTGGTCCCATTTGCCTTGTGCCATCTCTGCTGTCTGTCAGTCACTGCTTTCTGGCTCCTGGCTTTCTTTTCCTTTGACTAACCCTTGTGCTTCTTTCACAAGATATGTCAGACTCTGGAACTGAGAACTTCTGCCCCCCAAGCTCTACCAGTGAGCTACAGCCCTCCATGTGAGGGTGTGGGAAGGGGCTTCTGTAAGCTATCACATGCCCTCAACCAGTAATAGATCTGGTTAGCCCTCAATTTGATTAAAGTTGCACAAACTCTGGAATCAAGATCAGCCTGATTGCCATGCGTTTTCACTGCAAAATGCTTCTTTTGGGAAAAATTGGTTCTGAAGGGTTCGCTTAAGTTAGGCTGCAGAAATGGGGGAACCGTTGTGACCAGGAGCATAGGAATGGGCTTGCTGCTGTTGCCATGGTAACCCAAGAAGGGAGTCTAGAGTGGAGGGCAGTTGGCTTTTGCTGGGAGGCCAAGTGTCCATTAAGATCTAAAAGTAAGTCGAACCCACCAAAGCAAACCAAAACAAGCTCTTGCATATTGCCTGCCGGGTGAAGACTCCTCCAAAACTCAGATTAGTCTGAAAGTTTGGTGTAGACACAAGCACTAGTCTGGAGGAACCCCAAGCCATGAGTCAAACCAATTTGAACCAGGTGTCTCGTTAGATGTCTTAGTCCACCAGTTGGCTTCCCTGTGATCCTCTTGGAAAAAGAAAGAAAAAGAAAGACCCACTTGAACATCCAAACAGCAACACATCCTACCTGCCATGGCAAATAAGCTGATTGAGGAAGTGTTTTTCCCCAGTTACCGGAGAGAACACTTCCACCATTCCTAACTGAACAAGCATCTGGTAAGGAGTGGGCAATGGAATGGGGATGATGCAGAAGTGTTTATGCCTGTTCTTATGGTAACCTGTCGGTTGGTGGGGCAGGGGCAAGGAGCATAACTGCCATAGAATATGATGAGGTAAGATGATGTCATTGTTCAAGATAAAGCAGGGCAACCAGGAAGAGCTAAGGAAGAGATGAAGGACATTCATCTTTCTGATGGAGAAGCCATCTCCACAAGTTCTCTATACATATTAGTCTGTTTATCTATCCATCATTCCATCCATCCACCTGTTACCTTTGCCTTGACTTTTGACATTGAAGACCTTTTCTGAGATGCCGGGCATTTTTCAGATATACAGTATTGGATTTGAATTTCTGTTTGGGTCTGCTTTCAATGAGAGGCCAATGCAACATGCTTTCTACTTTCCTAAAAAATTATTTATTTGAAATATTTTTAACCTGCCATGTGGTCCCAAGATGTTTAGGGCTTTATAGGTTAGAACCAGCACTTTCTATCTATCTATCATCTATCTATCTATCTATCTATCTATCTATCTATCTATCTATCTATCTATCTATCTATCTATCTATCTATCTATCTATCTATCTATCTATCTATCTATCTATCTATCTATTCTATATTAACTGTATAATATATGTTGTACATGATCCAGAGTATCATGTACAACATGGTAGATAGATAGATAGATAGATAGATAGATAGATAGATAGATAGATAGATAGATAGATAGATAGATAGATAGATAGATAGATAGATAGATAGATAGATAGATAGAT